ATTTCATTAGTTTTTCATTAATTTTTAATTACGGATATAGCAGCTTGTGGACATTAGCCTTTTAATCACGAAAAAGAATAGAAGAAAAACAAAACAAGCAAAAATGTCACACGATTTAAACTTGTTAAAAAACATACGCCAACTTCAGTAAATGCACCAACAACACCACCACCACTACCACCACCACCACCACCAACAACAACAACAACAACAACAACAACAACAACAACAACAACAACAACAACAAGAGGCACACCAGTCCGTGAAAGAAAGGTTGCTGACCGGAGCTCCAGTGACAAAACCCATTAGCCCTGCTTCAGATAGTGGCATAAGCTTCAGGTGACATTTATTACTTTTTGACAGGCCCCACTTGTATTCAGAGAGAAAAAATCCATCATCTCTAATTCATGAAAAGACTTATGACAGTCTCGCACTTGTTATTATCGACTGTTGGAGAAATACGTCTCTCCATTATAACCAGTTGTTAGATCCACAGTGGATTTACTGAATATGATAATATAATGGTAGGGCAATACATGTATGTGGCCGGGCTCAACACAGATTAAAGTACACAAGCTCTGTGTGCTGAATATGACACGTATCGACAGAGTACATGGCTTTGCAGTGGCAGGAAGCAGGTGGCAAGATAGTGACTTTACGTTGTAACCCTTGATTCAGCTCATAAATACTTTGCCACAACCCCCCCCCCCTCGCCCCCAATTACTCAGCTCAACCATTTCTACACAGAGCACTTACCGAAGAGGCAAAGTAACGTATTACCATCCGTCTCGGACAGAACTAGGTAAACATCGGGGAGCATTGAAGAAAAAACAATCACATTGGACTTTTAGGGAGTATTGAACTGGTAACTTCGGGATGACAAGGCGAGTGACTTAATCATGACGCCTCCAATCCCCCGGCCCCTCGCTTCAGTGACCTCTTTCGCTTCGACTGGATCTTATTCGCTCTAAGGCATTGAGAAATAAAAAAGTGTGTATTCTAAAGCACTAACAGAAATTTTGAAACAATGTAATGGAACTTTCAAAAAGAGCATAAATATGCTTTGCAAACTGGACATAAACTTTAACAATTTCCGCTCATGGTACCAAATGATACTATGACTTCTGCACTAACGATCAAGACACGACCCAAATAGTCCCCTTTTACTTACTATTAATTGACCTAAAGGCGAATCTCCCCCC